TAACACTGGAAGTCTCAGCCATATGAGAGTGTTAAAGGATACTAATGTCTGCTCGATATTTATCAATGATCCATGAACTCACCATGTATAAATCAGATGCAGTATTATTAGATGATCAGGTTTGTTTTTGATGAAATGTTGCTCTGTGCACTTCTCCAGATGCTAAAATGAGCATCCATTCCATTAAATGAGATATTAAAGTTGGAGATGAGAAGAATCATTTGTTAAAATAAACCTGGAGATTCTATTTCTATCTTCTTCTTCTTTTTTTCTTCTTCTTATCGATCTTCTTGTCTCTCCTCTCAGCTGGAGCAGAAGGAGAAATAACATGCCAAAGGGATGGGAGGACATAGATGATGAAGATATTGTGACCTCCTCCAAATTGGTAATTAAGAAGGCTAGAATGCAGGATGTTGGCAGGTACACCTGCCACTGCGATTTTGACAGCGGACATAAAGATGATGTTCAGATACAGCTGTTTGTTTATGGTACGTAACAGCTGGCGGCACTTTTTACATTTACACTATAAACTCAGTAATATGTATGCTAGGACTTGTTGCTATATCTTTTCCTCTTCTGTCAGATGGGCCGTCATTTGGAAGCACTAAGACCTACCATGAGTTTCTGGAGGGTACATATGGGCTGGTGCCCTGCCTGGTGACTGGACAGTGGTTTAGAAATCTCTAAAGGTAAGAGCAAAACATGGGAACATGAGACCTGATGCTATGCTGCAGTATGAAGCCTTGCTTTGTGATTTAAAATGAACATTTTGTGAACATTTTATGCAGATAAACTTATCCAATTAATCACACAGTTCATTCTATTGTTTTTATTTAGTTAACATATATGCATGCTTGCCATAAAATGTAACTTTACCTGAGGGACAATTTAAAATCAGCAATCAAACTGGGTCACATTAAGTTGTTCTGTCAGTGTTTTTTCAGCCTTACTCAGAAATTATTTACATGGAACAATTTTCATGTAACCACCTTAATAATATAATATTTATTTGTATATTGCTTACCCAGTCCTGTGCAGTTTAACCCCTCCCGACATCACTTTAACTCAAACAGCAGCCAGATGACTATACAGTCTGTTGTGAGGAAGAACTTTGAGGAGTACGTCTGCACAGCTACCAACAAGATTGCTGAGAGCAGCGCTACCATCATGCTTCAAATCTTTGGTTGGTTTGATTGTGTTTCAGACCAGAAAAACACCTTCTGTCTTTTTCTCTCTGTCAGAGTTCAACTTAAGGCCGCGTGCGAGTGGTGGATAATGTGTTGATGATTGATGAAGTGGTGCCCTCTGATGGTGGATTGTATTCCTGCATAGCCGTCAGTACTTCTGGAAATGCATCAAGAGATGTCGCCGTATACAGTAAGAGTTTGTCTTCGTCATATATGGTTAAATGGAGAAAGTGCCTTTATACTTTATATTTATAATACCAGTGCATGTTACTGTTCCTTTTAACTTAATTTGTGTTTTGCTGTTGCTTCTCACTGAAAACCACACCTGTGAGTGGAGGAGCAACCATAACAAGTTTTGTCCAGCAGTGGAAACAAAAGCCAATCACTGACAAAAAGTCATAGTTTATACTTTCAACTGCTCACAGGGGCATAATTAGGGGGGGTTACAGTGTCATGCCAAATTGTCATACATCCGACTGCTCTAAGTAAAATATTCAATCAATTCACATGCACATCAACAGGCCAGTGAGACCCAACACTTCCAGTGAGACGGCAAACAACGCCAACAGAACAGACAAACAACAAAACAAAACAAAAAAAGAAATCCAAAAGAAAAGGCAAAGCAGCAGCACTTCTGTCAGTGTAGCCCGGAGAAGCAGTGGCGCCCAAGCTATAAAAGTTATCAGCCACCCACTGAGGCCCACACTTCCGATTAAACAGCATTGAATTTGTTAACAAAGTAGCCCATATGAAGCAGCTATAACCTATAAACAGTGTTGGGGAGTAACGGCATGTACCACCGTTACGTATTTAAAATACAAAATATGAGTAACTGTCCCTGTACTAATGTTCGGAGCCGCGGACCTGTTTTATATACATGCGGAATAGTTTTCTATACGAGATCGCTGCAAAAAGTGCAGCCTTACCTAATGTCCACCCTACTGTTACTCATTTATTTTATATTAAAATTTAAGAATCTAGTTGGTATTGGTATGGCGAGTATCCTTCAGTAATAGTAATAAATCACACAGCAATAGTACTTTCATGTAGTTGTAAAAAGCATGAAAAAATATTAATAGTAATCCAAAGTAATCAGAATACGTTACTCTCACTGAGTACATTTTAGGGCATGTATTCTGTAATCTGTAGTGGAATACATTTTAAAAGTAACCTTCCCAACACTGCCTATAAACACACTTATTTACCACCGAGTAAAATAATAAATGGCACAAAATAAACACATACCAGCAGCGATGGGAGGCTTCAGGAAGATAATCCGCAGGTGATAACATGAGTAACACCAATCAACAAAAGTACAGCCAATTCAGGCTAAGGAAGTCGCAACATGTACGCAACTCCTACCTGTAACACCCAGGGAAGTCAGCTGACCGAAAGGCCGCATGCAGATAACAACAGGTGAGCGATTCAGGGACACTCAGATGGCAGCTACTATTTATAGCAGAGCCATCCAATATGATTGGTTAGTAGTTGGATTACAAACAAAAGTACTGAATACACTATTCATTCAGCTGCACAGAGAAGTAATGCTGAAGAGCATATCCACTCTGGAAAGTATGCAACAGGTGGAGGTTCCCACACTCGCTTATGAGGTCGGTCAGTTCACAGAGATGAATATGAAAACTGTTTAATATGCTGTAGGCTACAAACAACAAAAGAAGAGAGAGGTCAAATATACTAAAACGGTCTGATTTGGGGGTGAACCAGAGCTCTGCATTTTTGCAGTGAGAGGACGGTGGTTCTGAATGTAGCCTCTTTGTCTTTGACAGCAATGCCCTCTCCTCAGGCTTCTACTCGACAACAGGGCGACTACAGGGAGGAAATTCTGCTGAATGTTTTGTTGTTTATTCAATTTGTTCACTGCAGGGGAGTAAACAAGATGAATAAATGCTGCACAGTGAGACAAGCAATTTATTTCATATCAGCAAGTTTTCTAATTATATGTCTTGGTATAAGATACACTGCTGTAATATGCAGACTCTACTTCATCATTCCTGGTACAGCAAGCTTATGCTAGTCTTTTGAAATGTAAGCAGTGAACTTCCTCAGGAAATAACTGATGTCCAAGTCTCTTTTGTCCCAAATTTGTGTGTATAAACAGAGTAAACAGCAGTTCTGGTTCCTTTCTTCATGCTTAAACAGTGATAAAAAATGATAAAGTCCAGTTCTGTAAACAGTTGCAGACTGCTGAGCAGAACGTCACAACCAGAAAACGACAAGTGAAACATGCATATCTTACTCTTCAGAGAAGCAAACTTGAGAAAATGTCTTTTTCACCACCTAGTGCTGATCTTTTTTTTTCTTCCAGTATATATTGAATAAAATGCAAGGTTTTCCCCCACCCTAGTTCTATTTTTCTTAAATGAAGCTTATGGGAAGGTTCAATAATGAGTATCTATGGCTTTGCATCTGTCTGCTCGCTCCCAGATGCTGCCAAATAAATCTAAGCTTTATCACTTCCACTTTCCCACGCTGTCAAGCTGCTTGTGTCATCGCTGGACTAGTCCAGTCACCTTCTCTCTGCCTTTTCCCGGCCAATCAACATTCGCGTCACGTACTTAAAATCTCACTGCGCATCTGTCTTTCTCCTTCGCAGAGTCCTTTGTGCAACCCACCTCCTCCCCGTCTCCACTCACTCATCACTCAAGCTCCATTCAAGCCACCTTCATCTCCACCACCAGCATCTAGGCCATCTGAGTCTAACTGCCAAACATTTATCTGTATTATTATTGTTGTTATTATTATTAAGTCTTTGTTATTATTTATTTATTTATTTAGTATCAAATATGTTGGCATAAAAATTTAAAAGGGCTATTGTAAAATTGCTAAAATCAGTGTCAAATATAAATAGCAAAACTTTTCAGATTCGATTCTTTCATTGCCTGCTCAAAGTTTGCCCAAAACATTTATTTGAGGCAATTTAATATTTCATTTTTCATGTTTTATTCAAAAGAAACTGGCAGGCACAAATTCACTATATGGGACTCAAACACAGAGTTTGTAATACTTGATGTTTTGTGCTGATTAATAAAGTGTCTTGCATGCAAATGCTCCAAATTAAAGAGATGGTCCTCACCTGCATCCATCAGTTAGAGGAAGAGAGAGGGAATCAAGATTACCGCATCCATTACTGATTAATTTTCACTGTAGCTCTCTTTTAAAATGGCCATATATGTATTTAAATGACTTCTGAATATATGTTTAGTTTTGACCAATACAATCTGTTGATGGTTTCTTCACTTTCTGTGTATAACTTCCGTTACCTAAAAGTATTAAGACAGAAATTTGGTTTAGATTTTCACAGGTCAAATTCGGGTTGCCTGCATTATACACTGGGCTGCCATGGCAAACTATATGCTGCAGTGACATTTTTCCTCCTTCAGTGATTGGTCGCCAACAGCTTTGAAAGTCAAAGCTGCAAAGCATTTGTTAAAGATTAATTAAGATTATTCAAATCAAGCATTTTTTTAACCTGGACAACAGTCTGTGGCTTGCTCTTTGTCCTGCAAAAGAATGCTAAAAATCTCAATTTGGGGCGTTAAAAATATAAAAAGAATCTTTAATGCAACATCTATAATCTCTCCTTAGCACCAAGACAGATACAGTCAACTCTTTTTTCTTTTTCTGATTTCCTCTCATAAAAAGTTCAACACAGGACCCACAAAAAATGCTTAAAGGTGCAACAAATGTCAAATGTTGAACTATATTTGTTAATAATTAGGCATGTTCTATGCTTTCTATTGTTAGCTAGTTCATTTACATATCTTTGGACTCCAGTCACACCTCTATCTGTGAACACTTGGTCATTATTATAGTCCATGGTTAGACCAACGAAGAAAACTAAAAACAAAGAGAAAAAACTGAATCTGCACAGAACTCTTAAGCACTGTAGTTAATATGTAATGAAAACTATCATTACAGAGAGAAGTGAACAAATAACGACAGAGGTGAAACTACTTCCCATGCGACAATGTTAGGGTGGATCATTAGATGGCAGTATTTCCCCACGATTTTAACTATTGCTCCAGGAGACATGACAAATATTCTTTTGGGCTTTTAAGATAACATTTCAATCTGTAAAGTCTTTATATTCTTTTGGAGATGACATTTCCTGCACACATTTAATTAGAATTAGAGTACAGTAACCAAGTCAAGATTGGAATTTGTAGTTTTATTGTTTGATGAAATAATGTGGTCTTTTCCCCAGTAACCCTTGTTAGAGTCCTAAAAGACATAAATATTAAATCTATAGTTAGAAAAAACATCTACTTTATCAATCAATCAATGATTCAATCAATCAATGAATCAATCTTTATTGACAGACTTTTCGTCTATAAAAGGATCATACCCTTTTTTTTAAAAAAATTCATAACCACAACTCCATTACAGTATGGAGAGTTGTTCTATTAGTACTGTTAGTATGTTAAAATTGCGTTTGTGCACCATTTACACTCACACTTACGCTTGAATGTTTTTCTTTAACTAAATCACATCAAACACCCACATCCACTTTATCTTTTTTTTAGCTGTTTTTACAAACCTAAAATAATGAATTATAATGAGGTACCCAGTTTACCCATCAGAAAATAAATACTAATTTGATGACGCCTCGACACCTCTCGGTAGCAGTGATGGTGGCAGCTCTATGTGTTTCAGGTCTGCACGCTAGCCACGCCCCCTGCCTGATGCGTTCCTGCTGACTGAAAGCACATGACCAAGCGTGTTTACACCTGCAGTCTTTAGTCAGGCGCTAACGTCAACTGTGACACGGATACGCAAGCCTGTTTTTTAAACCAAGATAAGACTTGACCGTGGGGTGAGAGATTATTGTTTGGCAGACCCTCGGCTGGTAAGTTAGCCATATTAGAAAGGCCGCTGTTGTGCTTCAATAAGAAGGCTAGTAGCTCTTCCGTAGCAGCAGCTGCTGCTAGGTTAGCACACTAATGACTCTTGAGTAGGTTGCGACAGCAGCATCACCACCAAAGCAGGTAAAAGCTAAATGTTTAACAGTTCACTCATCTATAAATGGCTTCACTCCAGGCACTCTACTTAGCTTAGCCCACACGGCGTGTTTGCTTGCAATGTCATCGTTCTTTATGGTATAATCAACGTAAAATTACAATAAATGACTGAACCAGCTAGCAACGATTCAGTTGATGGTTATGTTAACCCTTTAGCACAGCAGGTGTGGCGGACTGATAAAAAGTTAAGTCCTATTGACCGGATAGTGGCAGTTTTTGGTTGAATACAGCCTTAAACTCATTAATAGGTGTTAGTGTGTCTCAGTGTGAACTTGTCACAGAGGTCACAATCAACTGTCTGCTCTCAGGTAGCTTCCCGCAGGTTCCCTGTGTCTACATGAGTTGTTGTCATCAGAGGTTAAACTGACATTTGGCAGGTGAAGGCACAAAGATTGGCTGCAGCAGGGCCAAATAATTACTGTGAGTTAGAAGTAAGTTACATAAAAATGTGTTCTGTGATGTCCAGTAGATGTTTCTTTGTCTGCAGATTGTGATCAGCTGAACTGCCATGCTACTCCGATATTCCCTGCTCTTTATGGATTTAACCACCTGAATTCAACAAGATATAAGCAGATGTTAAGAAAGTAAAAGGTAGACTTCGGTGAATGAGTCTAATCAGCATCAACTTAATCACCTTAAATATAAACTCATGTAACCCATTAGCAGTACCCAAGATAGTTCAACATACTAATTCTCTGTAAACTTGATAACAATACTGCAAACTAACCAGTGTAGCATGCACTAAACTGCCTAGTGCCATATTTTCATGTAAGCATTTGCAAAATGTTAGGCAAAAACATAATTCAGCAACACATCATGCATAATCCAGTATTTGATTTAAAACTCAGAGACTGCTCAGCATGTGAAAATCCCATTCTTTAAAAATAAATAACTCATCTTTCTGGCATCTTTCTCCATATGTCGGTGATGCATGTTAACATTTTTTTCCTCTCCCTGGGAAAAAAAAAGCAACTGAGCATTTAGCTCACGGATGTATTTTGCAACACACTGCACGGATATAGTTTGTGCATTTGCTGATATTTGTTGAGCTGTTTTAAAGTTAGTTTTTACAATACTTCCCCATTAAAAATAATTTCTTACCTCTTCTGTGGCACTAACTAGATGCAGACTACCGTGAAACCTTATTTAAATCAGCACCATTATTTGCATCACAGGGAGGAAAAGGAAAATGGGATGTGTTTAAGGTGTAAATGAACCATGGGATGTCATTGTTTTCTTATTATTGAGCAAGTGTCTCCATGCCATCACTGGAAGCAAGCACAACTCACTCAATAGTAACATGCACTAACCTCTCTATCAGATGTAATTAATCATTAACTGAAGGTGGTGGGATGCTATTTCAGATCTGTATCCCAGGAGAAACAACCCCTCTTTGGCCTCTGGCTCCAGGAAGCCAGAGCTCCTTGCTGTCCAACATGGATGAGACGGATGTTGAACGTGAGTCTCTTCCCTTCTCTACTAAAGGCTAAGCCACATGTATTTGACATTGGTCAATTCAGGTTTCTGAAATGTTGTCCATCCACTTATGTTTACTCCTTTTCTGCTCCGATATGCTACTGAGGTTGTGTTTTCCTTTCAGAGGTGACCCTGGCTCTTCTTGATGCAGCCACCGATAAAGACTCAGAAGTCCAGGAACAAGTCAGGAAGTCTATTTTGACTCTGGGAAAACAGCAGCCAGACCGAGTGTTGGCCATGTGTCAGGACTACCTCCTGAAACACCCTAAGGTAACAACCCAGAAGAGTGAGAGTCCTTAGGAAGACGAAAGTCAGCCATAATTACGTAACTAAGAAAACAACTGCAAAGTCGTTTAATGTTTAAAAGCAATATGGACTGTTAAATCTATTTTGAGCCTGTTTTTCTGCATTTTTTTCCCGCACACAGCTGCAGAGAGTTTTGATACCGTTGTAGCCACTGACTTCATTCAGTTCATTAGTTGGCTTTTTTTAATTTAGATGGTATAAAATGTTCTTAGTGATATATTATTTGCTTCTCTAAAGGCAGTCCCTGACATTCAGCAGAAAACAGAGTCATGCTGTTATGTTTCAGATTAACTGCTCTTGTAGCATTTTAATTTCCTGTTTCACTCCATTGTGTTCCTGTTCTCCTTTATGTTAATGACCTTGTCAGTGAGGCTGATACTGTTTTCATCTTATTAATCTATCAGTATCATCATGCTAAAATGTGCTTAGGGAGACATATACTATAACAGAAACTACCACAAAGGCTGTTTTGGAAGCTCTGCCTTTCTATGGACAGATTTTGGCAACAAGGTAACACAGCTTTGGGAGATGCAGTCATCAGATTTTACGCTTGTACTGACATCAAAATGAAGGCTGATTTCTGTGTGGTCGGAGAGCTTATTGGCATAGTGACTGATGTTATTCCATCACAGACCAGCCTGTGGTCCTCTCTT